TACGTGTCTTGACCAACAAAGATTAAACTGTACTGTGTTTACCCAGCTAATTGCCTGTGTCTGGTCAATTATGTTATTAGCATAGAAATTTGTCGCAATTGGTCTCGTAAGATCTCATTCGAATAATAATAGAGGGTGTCCGTAAAGTTCTGGTGCAGTTTAAAACATTAATAACTTAAGTTCTATACGAGATAAAAACAATCTGTAAAATTTATTTATTCTACTTTTTTCTTTATGTTTTTTCGAGATAATCTGCCCCAACACTATACTGAATGGCTTCAATAGAAGAGAAGGTGAATTGTGTCCTCAGGTTAGCTGAGTCTGTAAGAGCGGTTAGAAGATAATCTACGTGATTTTCGTGGATTATATAGAACAGCTTGCTCTACGGTCTCCTCGTTTACTCTCGGTCTTCCAGTCTCTTTAAACTTCATCCATCGTGTAATTGAATTTTTGTGCGGTGCTTCATTCTTGTAATGAGTCGTAGATTTACTTCTAACCGCTGTTACAGACTTTAACTCAGCTAACCAGAGGACACTATTCACCTCTTCTATTGAAGCCATTCAGTATAGTGTTGGGGCAGATTATCTGGAAAAACATAAAGAAAAAAAGTTAGAATAAATCAATTTCTTAAATAAAAAATGTGTTGAATAAATTACCTCTCCAATGCATTTTACAGCTTGTTTTTATCTCCTACAGAACCTAAGCTATTAATAATTTATCCTGCACCACGACCTTACGGACAACCTGTGTTTGGATTTTCATTTAATTTGTGTTGCAGATTATTTGGTAACTTAAATTAAACATTTAATTATTTATCTATGTTCATTTTTTCTGTTTATTATGTCATTCTATGTGTCTGTCTCTACCATCTGTTATTTGTGCTAACCTAACCTAACCTAACCTAACCTAACCTAACCTAACCTAACCAAACCAAACCTAACCTAACCTAACCCCACACTGTTACCTGTACTTCACCCCCCACACTGTTACCTGTACTTCACCCCCCCCCACTGTTACCTGTACTTCACCCCCACACTGTTACCTGTACTTCACCCCCACACTGTTACCTGTACTTCACCCCCCACACTGTTACCTGTACTTCACCCCCACACTGTTACCTGTACTTCACCACACTGTATATTTCACCCCCACACTGTTACCTGTACTTCCACCCCCACACTGTTACCTGTACTTCCCACACCATTGCTTTACCTGTGCCACCCCACACTGTTACCTGTACTTCCACCCCCACACTGTTACCTGTACTTCACCCCACACTGTTACCTGTGTTACTTACCCACCCCACACTGTTACCTGTACTTAACCACCCACACTGTTACCTGTACTTCACACCCCACACTGTTACCTGTACTTCAATTCCCACACTGTTACCTGTACTTCACCCCCACACTGTTACCTGTACTTCACCCCACACTGTTACCTGTACTTCACCCCCACACTGTTACCTGTACTTCACACCCCACACTGTTACCTGTACTTCACCCCCACACTGTTACCTGTACTTCACCCCCACACTGTTACCTGTACTTCACCCCCACACTGTTACCTGTACTTCACCCCACACTGTTACACTGTACTGTTACTTCTGAACTTCACCCCCCCACACTGTTACACACTCCCACACTGTTACCTGTAGTTCCTGTACCCCCCACACTGTTACCTGTACACTGTTACCTGAACTTCACCCCTCACACTGTTACCTGTAGTTCACCCCCCACACTGTTACCTGTACTTCACCCCCCACACTGTTACCTGTACTTCACCCCCACACTGTTACCTGTGTTCTGAACGGACAGTAACGCTTCAGGCGACGGTAAATACTGGTTATTGCCTCGACTCTTGGTTGGTGGATATTTTGGCGTAGCTCCTGGGTCTGGCGCTGCTCCAGCTATTACTGTTCGAGGCGATTTACTGAGGGCTGTGGTCGCGCTGTTTCCTCTGTCTCTCTCTCTCTCTCTCTCTTCTTTTGTTTCTTTCTGTGTTTCTATTTTCTCTTCGTTTTCTTGTCTTTCTCTTTCACACACACACACACACACTTATATATCATCCTTGTCCTTTAACTACTTTTCTTCTTCGCTTCTCTCTCTCCCTGTCTCTTCTACGTTTTTCTTTATTTCTTCTTTCACCTTTTCTTTCTTCTCTATCGGTATTAATTCATCTCTTTCTTTATTTCTTCTTCCTCTTCTTTTTCTCTCTTCCTCCTTCTCCCCCTCCTTTCTCTCCTCCCTATCTCCTCTTTTGTTTTATTCTCTACTTAATATATTAGTTAGCAATGAATTTGGAGAGAGAGAGAGAGAGAGAGAGAGAGAGAGAGAATTAATTAATTACAGGAGTCAATGGCCCTTTACTTTCTATAATATAATCACCTTTAATTAACACTAATTATCGAACGAGCTCTTAAGTGCACTGTAATAGCTCTGACGATCACCTTGTTAACTGAATATAACATCAAAACATTCCTCTCAGCTGTGGCGTGAAAACCTGCCTGACTTGTGGAGACAGGGAAGGTGTTGATTGAAACTAGGTTGGCGTGTCTGTAGATCTTTTCCATTGGTTTGACTTATTATCAGGACCACGTGAAGATTAGACACCTTAAAATGTTTTTTTTTCATCTGATGATTAAACTCATTAACGCAACCTGGGGAAATGGTTAGGTTAGGTTAACGTTAGCGTTAGGATGTTTATTATCAGGTTACAATAAATAAGCTGGGTTGTCTAATCTTTATGTTACTTCTTTATTTTATTAGAATGGAGAATTTTCATTATGATTTATCCATATGTATATAAACAAATCCCTACATATGAACAGAATCTGCTGTCAATAAGTCGTAGTGGTAAAGCAAACGTCAACACAAGAATCTGAGCAACCATACACCTTGCAAGTCGGCATTTCCCAATCATTGCACCATCATGGCCTGACTGTCACACCTTACTGTCTATACATTTATGTTTACTGACTATGAGTTATATTAGAGAAAAAAAAACAACAATAATTAATCGAATAAAACACACGTACAGAGTTTAGGAAGTAGAGTGATGTTAGTGTTGACCCAATGAGTATGATAATTTATTGTCTTGAATACGAGGATGACTTGATCCTTTTGAGGGCAGAGGCACACTTAGGTATTTTATTAAGGCTAACGCCAGACGATTTCATTCAACTTAGAGAAACCTTTGCCCTTTAAAAGGCTAATGCCTTGAGTATGATAACTTAATCCCTTGAATGCGATGACAATATACTGAGTGCGTGACTTAATCACCCTAAATGTAATGTCATTTTACGCACGCATTTAAGTGAACCCAACAAATACATCGTGTATATATATATATATATATATATATATATATATATATATATATATATATATATATATATATATATATATATATATATATATAAAATGATTAGAAAGTACCGACTAAAACATAAATAAATTAATTTAAGTCTGAATTATGCAGATAAAACTCTGTGGATGGCATTGAATATGTCCGATTACCTTAACAAAAAGATGTGTTACGTGGGAAGGTATGGTGTTTGTGAAGGTGTGTGTGTGTGTGTGTGTGTGTGTGTGTGTGTGTGTGTGTGTGCGTGCGAGTTTTAAAGAGCTTCTATGTTATGGTTACAAAGTGTGTGTGTGTGTGTAAATTAAAGATGAAACTGAATATTGTGTTATACACACACACACACACTCACACAGGTCAGAGGCCATGCGAGCAAGATAATGATTTGCAGCAATGTGTTACAACTTCCTATGAGGATGTGATAACTGCAGGTCACTAACCAGTCTCACCTTAACCCTCGCCCACCCTCACCAACGCCCACCACGCCCATGATCAAGCCTACCACACCCTTACCCACGCTCGTCACGCCCACCACCACAACATAACCTACGTTCACCATATCTACGCCCACTCCACCTTTACCCACACCTATCATATCCTCATCCACCCCCACCACACCTTTACCCATTGTATCAACCCACCACCAAGTAACAACTTCACTAACCCACTCTAATCATTTATCCTCATCCACCCACTTTGCCAACCCACTCAACCCACTCAGTTCTGACTATTCATACCCACACCTTTTTTACCCATCTCCTCTCATCCAAGCAACACTATTCATACTAACTTCACTAACGTCATCCACACACACAATCACACCCATATATATATATATATATATATATATATATATATATATATATATATATATATATATATATATATATATATATATATATATATATATATATATATACATATATATATTCTTTTTACAGGGATTAGCCCACCCGGGCACAGGTCACTGATGCACATCGGGGCCTAGGGGGTAACGATGTAATAATGATAACAACACTAATAATAATAATAATTAGTTCATAATAATTAAATTTATAATACAAAAACAAAATTGAAATAAAATAACAATAAAAATAATAATAATATAATAACATCAACACTGATAATAATCATAATAATAATAATAATAATAATAATAATAATAATAATAATAATAATAATAATAATAATAATAAAGAAATAAAAAAAGTTCAATTGTGAGAAACGATATATGTATGTTGTGTTGTCAAAGTAAGAGAAACAATTGATACCCTGCAATTGTGTATAAATGAGGCAGTATATATATATATATATATATATATATATATATATATATATATATATATATATATATATATATATATCATGTAAATCCACAATGAAAATGTGTATATATATATATATATATATATATATATATATATATATATATATATATATATATATATATATATATATATATATATATATGCCTATATATATTTATATATAACAACGACCCTATATCAGCCGTGACCCTCTAACAATCAATAAGCTTCGTTCTTTCAAGACAAACAGAATGCACACCTCTCAGGAATCCACTTTCTTCTCGTCCGTCCAAAATATCATTAATAACCCTCCCGTTTCCTGTAGGTTGCGTGATGTTGTAGGGTGTGGTCCCAGGTATAAAAGGAGTTGAGTCGATATTTTTGTCAGTGACTCGGCGACTTCGCTACGATCATGACTGCCAAGGTGATTATTTCAATGGTGCGGGAGTGGAGTAAACAAGGCGGATTCTGGATTCTTTGGTCCCCTTTTGTTTGCTACTTGTCTGGACACCATCAATGGATAACTGGACGCCTAGAGAGAGAGAGAGAGAGAGAGAGAGAGAGACACACAATATGTAACTGCTACTATTACTGTTTTGTTGTGCAACTCACGTGTGTAGTGAAGGGCTTTACACCATGTGATGCAGCGACTGTTGATCCGTTTGTTTATTTTGTTGTGTATCTGCTGAGAGGGACTATTTATATTACTTGTTTACTTCATTATAAAGAGCTATTTATTTAGTTTACCTGTTATAGTGACTATTAATGTGGTTGTCGTTGATGGATATGTACAGTATATAACTTAGAATATTAAGGTATATTTTCAACACTACACGACTTAACAGTGTCCACCATTACATAAATTGTTAGAGGTAACGGTAGTGTGTTATGATAAACGTGGGAAAAGAATGAGCAGAGGGAAGGCAGGAAGGAAGGGGGGAGCGGTGAAGGGAAAACGGGGAGGGGGGAAAGGGAGAGGTTCTTTTTATTACCTAACCCCACGTGAGACTGTGTTGTGAGGTAGAAGGGGAGGGTTTATTATAATATCACATACAGAAGCGAGTGTGAGTGTGTGTGTATGTGTGTCTATCAGTTACACAGTTATATGTAAAGATCAGGTATTAACATCATGTCGATCAATCAGTCAATCTCTAGACGGTCTCAAACTTGTGTCTGACAGCATTTTCACCTTCAGCTGGAAGTGTTCTTGACTCTCCATTGTTGTCGCATCGTTCATACAGGTTCTTATGTTGGCCGCCCTTGTGGTTGCAGCCTTCGCCAGGCCAGATCCACAATACAGCCCCCCGACTCCTGCATACAATCCCCCCACTCCCGCATACAGCCCCCCTGCCCCCTCCTACAATGCTCCAGCTCATTCAAGACCTTCCTATTCTGCTGCTCCAGCTTATCCTGACGTAAGTTGATACTTCCAGACATCTTTTGAACGAAAAAAATTCTTTATAAAAGGTTAATTTGAGCTTGTCAGTATTTTTTCTATGATCTATAATTATTTTACATAAAATACCATTATCGTGAATGTCAATGTTACCTTCTATTGTCTTTTTAGCAATATAAATATTCATGAATTATTATGTAAGTCATGTTAAGATATAAACAAAATATTTCATTTATAATAAAAATGAATACACAAACTGGAAAAAGTGTTATGCTGTTTACAAGGGCAAGTGTGATAGAAAACATAGGCAGATCGAGTAGTAATACTATGTTGTCTTGGCCACAGACTCCTCCCCAATACAACTCCCAGTACGCCGTGAGGGACGACTACTCCGGCAACGACTACGGCCATGAAGAATCCCGTGACGGCTACAACACCCAGGGTACCTACTCCGTGCTGCTTCCCGACGGTCGTGTGCAGAGGGTGACTTACTACGTCGACGGTGACTCCGGCTACGTGGCTGAGGTGACCTACGAGGGTGAGGCCCAGTACCCAGCCTACCAGCCTGCCCCAGCACCCTCCTACAGGCCTGCTCCTGCGCCCTCCTACACGCCAGCACCCAGCTATGCCTAAATAGAATTGAAAACATACAGTGAATTTCATGTTGACCATTTTATTTATAAACTAACTGACCTGAATAAAAACTATTGGATAGATTTTAAGGCTTTAATATCGTCATAGAATGAAGGACACATCTATGTTCTTTTTCACCTAATAACAATAGTCACTAACACATTGTATAGTGTTTAAAGGCGAAGCTCTCTGATAATATACAGTATGTATCTTCATGCAAGGCGAATCGTGTTAACAAAAGTGTAGAAACACTCAGCTGCCTCCATCTTCTTCCTGCTGCAAGGCTGAGGCCAAGTACCATGACCACCAGCCCGCCCCAACACCCTCTTACATTTAGAGGCTTAGACCATCACTCTGAACCCCTGACATGTTATGGGAAGGATATTTATTTATTTAAATTTTTCGTTTTGTTTTTCTTGCCTCTACTATTTCTTTTTCTTTTCATTCTTGTCCCTCTCTCATAATTATAATGCCTGAAAAAAAGAGTATGATAGTTAATAATCGAACTTTGGCACTTATTCACCTCATCAAGTGTTTGCCGTATACTGCATATAGTTATAGGAGACAGAAGCAGGTACAGAATCATTTAAAGTTATGTTAACAGTTACAGTTATATAAACAACTACAAGCGGATATGTGTTCCTATGGTAACCCGTGTCTTCAAACGGCACCGTCGTGGTAGTAACATCGCTATTTATGAATGAATGGGTATTGGTCGTGTAACGACGGACGTGATTGGTGGATATGTTTGCTATAGGAATATAGGTCACATAAATTGGTGATTTGGAAATACGGGTTACCACAGGGGGTGTAGGAACACATTTCCACAACTGTCCCAAAGCCACATGTTAAGAGGCTTCTTTTATCCTTTCATTACTGTGATTATAAAACTTAAAGTTCATCAGTTTAAATTAGCAAAATCAAACACAAACAACTCTTGCATTTTCATAGATTTCAAAGATTTTACGGATTTGTTGTATTTCCAAGGATTTTTTTATGAATACACTGATTTCATAAATTTTATAGATTTGTGGATTTCCCGGATTTTCAAGGATTTCAGGATTTTACAGGGATTAAAATGATTTTCGTGAATTTCTTTGATTTGTATGGATATCTCATAAATTTGAGAGATTTGGTACTTTTTAATGAATTCATGAAGGAACCTTATAAATTTCATGAAACTGTGGATTTTCATGAATTGCCTGAATTTTCACGGATTTCATGGGTATTCGTGGATTTCAGGGATCTTACACGTCTCATGGAATTTCACGGTCCATATGGATTTCAAAGATAATGAAGAAAATTATGGCTTTCACAGATTTGTTGAATTATACTGCAGTGACTACTTAAATACTAACAAGAGCAGCAAATACTACTACTACTGTTCCAACGTCTGCTTTTCTAACGACCTCCAACCTCCCCCACCATTTCATTGCCTAACTATGCTAATACAAAATTCTGTATTCTAGATAAACGAGTTAAACCGCACGTCGATGTCTGTGACTGTTGTAGGTTTAGGGGCCGATAATCTAGTCTCCTGTAACACTGCAGAGCAGACTTGAGTAAGGGGAAGGACAGGCGACATCTTAAGTAGGCCACGAAGTAACTATAGGGTAACTACTTTTTTTTTTTCTTTTTTTTTTTTTAAACGTGGCCTCCAGTCTTTCCAATAGCCACACCTTCGCCGCCATTTTATTACCTTAATATTAAATATCCTGATACATAAGTAGCTATCCTATCTGTGTCGAATTAGTTTAGCCGCAGATCTATGCGGCATTCAGTGACTGTAGCCTCATAGTCAATATCTGCAGCAGTTGTCGGCATTGGGGCAGAAGCTCTCGTTCCCCTGAGGCAGAGCAAAGCCGACCGAAGGAGAGAGAAAGACAGTCGACATCTCATCCAGGATGTAACATAACTTCTGGGCTGCTGCTTCTGTTCGGAGAGTACCTCCGCGAGTCTGGCGTAGAAACATCTTGCACTTGGTCCCATCCCACCAGAGGTTGTGAACAATAGAGGAGTGAAGCTGCCTTGATCAACGTTTTAAATTCTCGCCTCATATGCCCTTATCTTGTCGTTCTCGTTCCTCCTGTGTGCACCATCGAGAGCTAGGTTACGGTGACATGCGGCCATGGGATAAAAAATCCTGCTGTCGAAGAAAGCTCACTGTCCCCGCGTCCAGAATCCTCGGGCACTGACGTCAACACGGGCTTCGTTAAATGTGTTTGAAGTCCTATGTTGGAAGATCTCACCATCCAAAGGAAGGAGGGTCGGTTCTACCATGACATCCCGGCAGATTTCCTTCAACATATTTGCTGTGAGGTCCCTTACTTCGTCATGCCTCATGCATATGAAGCCCATTTTCTTGCACACCATGGCGTGATCGACGTCATAGGAAGAGCCACACACGCATTGGGAGGGCAAACCTTCAACTGGCCGACCGTACCTTAGAGCAATGGCATCTGTAAATTCTTGTTTATTGAGACTGAAACCATTTGCCCTTATCGGTAACGTAGTTAACCAGTTCGAGGCGCCCACCTCCTGTGCTATAGCTATTTTTTTTTCAAATTTTCTGGTACCTGCAGCAACAGTTGCTGCAGCTTATCATTTTGGCAGTGCTGTCGTTCTGTCGTAATGGACCTACGAATCTTGTTTACTTCACTGGCATCCACCTCCCCTGTTGCGTTCTGGGCTATTATGTGGTCCGTGAGGGCTGCCGTGAGCTTAAGTGAATTTTGATGTTCAGATGGTTGCAATCTCCTCTGGATTGGTTAGTCCCATCCCTCCCAGTCTTGATGGAAGTGCAAGAAGTGATCTTTCTGCTGGGGTGAAGTGAGGGTGTTTCAATAATTTGGGAATGAAATTGACACTGATAGCTTCTTCCAGAGGGTGGAGGAGGGGTCCGATATCAGGGATAGTACGCATCAGGTAGTTTCAACGATGCTTGACTCCATGGGTGAATGCAGCAAAAGCAGCATGTGGCTCTGTGTTAGCAATCTCAGCTACTACTATTACTTGTAGTAGTAGTACTATAGATAATGATAATGATGAAAATATGATAATAATGATAATATCAATAATGATATTAATAATAATGATAAAAAGAACGACATTGATACAAGAAAAATAAAAAAATAAAATTAATTCAATTAATATTGACGAACAAGAAGGATGGTAATAACTAATACCAATGGCCGCATGTCACCGTAACTTATCTCTCGATGCTGCACACAGGAAGAACGAGAACTACAAGATAAGGGCATACGGGGAGAGAATTCAGGACGTTGATCAAGGCAGCTTCACTCCTCTAGTGTTCACAACCTCTGGTGGGATGGGACCAAGTGCAAGATGCTTCTACGCCAGACTCGCGGAGGTGATATCCAAACAGAAGCAGCAGCCCAGAAGTTGTGTTACAGCCTGGATGAAATGTCGACTGTCCTCTCTCCTTCGGTCGGCTTTGCTCTGCCTCACGGGAACGAGAGCATCGGCCCCAAAGCCGACAACAGTTGCAGATATTGACTATGAGGCTACAGTCACTGAATGCCGCATAGATTTGCGGCTCAACTAACTCAACACAGCTAGGATACCTTCTTATGTATTTGGATATTTAATATTAAGGCAATAAAATGGTGGCGACGATATGGCTATTGGGGGAGGCTGGAGGCCATTTATAAAAACAAAACAAAACAAAAAAAATACTCCTTCTACTGCTTCTAGTACTACTACTAATATTAGCTTCACTGTGGTCGTTACTCAGCTCTTGTCAGGTTTTCTCATACAAATACACATCCACTACTCTAACTACACAGTCATTTTGTATTGCTCCTTTCCTTACAATCACACTTAAAGATTAGTAGCCTCTGGGGGAAACCAAGTGAAGAAATAAGATATCACATCGAGGTACCCTTGATGGAGAGAACTTCCATATATTGTATAAATTGACTTGTTATCTCTTAATTATGTCTCAATAATTTTTCAGTGATAATTGTATCATTATACAGCTTACCCCACCAACATTATCAGCTTTGTCTCCCACTTTTCATTATCATATTATCTCTTCTTCATGTGATTCGTCTAATAAACCATCATCATCACACTATCATATAATTATTACCTTCTAAGAATAGTATAGCTGCCATGTTCCCTAGACTGGCTACGTCATATGACCTGGGCGGGACTTCAGGTATATAAGGCTTCGGTCCGCCTCACGCAACAACAGTCTCATCAACAGTTCATTCTCATAGCACCATGGCTCCCAAGGTGAATAGATCTCTTGTCTGGAAATAGTTGATATGATATATATATATATATATATATATATATATATATATATATATATATATATATATATATATATATATATATATATATATATATATATATATATATATATATATATATATATATATATATATATATATATATATATATATATATATATATATATATATATATATATATATATAAGTTGTAGTGTTAGTAGCGGTGAAGTTTATCATGTTTTTATACAACCTGACAGTATAGTTAACATTAATGTGTTATTATACGTGTTGTGGTTTCGTTCTGTAGGTTGTGTTATTTGCCGCCCTTGTGGCTGCAGCATTTGCCAGGCCTGACCCACAGTACAGCTCCCCCACTCCTGCATACAACCCCCCTGCCCCCTCCTACAATGCTCCAGCTCATCCAAGACCTTCCTATTCTGCTGCCCCAGCTTATCCTGACGTAAGTTGATACTTCCAGACATCTTTTGAACGCAAAAAATTCTTTATAAAAGGTTAATTTGAGCTTGTCAGTATTTTTTCTGTGATCTATAATTATTTTACATAAAATACCATTATCGTGAATGTCAATGTTACCTTCTATTGTCTTTTTAGCAATATAAATATTCATGAATTATTATGTAAGTCATGTTAAGATATAAACAAAATATTTCATTTATCATAAAAATGAATACACAAACTGGAAAAAGTGTTATGCTGTTTACAAGGGCAAGTGTGATAGAAAACATAGGCAGATCGAGTAGTAATACTATGTTGTCTTGGCCACAGACTCCTCCCCAATACAACTCCCAGTACGCCGTGAGGGACGACTACTCCGGCAACGACTACGGCCATGAAGAATCCCGTGATGGCTACAACACCCAGGGTACCTACTCCGTGTTGCTCCCCGATGGTCGTGTGCAGAGGGTGACTTACTACGTCGACGGTGACTCCGGCTACGTGGCTGAGGTGACCTACGAGGGTGAGGCCCAGTACCCAGCCTACCATCCCGCCCCAGCACCCTCCTACAGGCCTGCTCCTGCCCCCTCCTACACGCCAGCACCCAGCTATGCCTAAATTGAAGTGAAAAACTACAGTGAATTTCATGTTGACCATTGTATTTATATACCAAATGATCTGAATAAAACTAATGTATAGAATTATGGCTTTGATATCGTTATAGAATGAAGGACACATCTATGTTCTTTTTGACCTAATAACAATAGTCACTAACACATTGTATAGTGTTTAAAGGCGAAGCTCTCTGATAATATACAGTATGTATCTTCATGGAAGGCGAGTCGTGTTAACAAAAGTGTAGAAACACTCAGCTGCCTCCATCTTCTTCCTGCTGCAAGGCTGAGGCCAAGTACCATGACCACCAGCCCGCCCCAACACCCTCTTACACTTAGAGGCTTAGACCATCACTCTGAACCCCTGACATGTTATGGGAAGGATATTTATTTATTTAAATTTTTCGTTTTGTTTTTCTTGCCTTTACTTTTTCCTTTTCTTTTCGTTCTTGTCCCTCTCTCATATAATGCCTGGAAAAAAAAAAAGTGTGATTGCTAATAATCGAACTTTGGCACTTATTCACCTCATCAAGTGTTTGCCGTATGCTGCATATAGTTATAGGAGACAGAAGCAGGTACAGAATCATTTAAAGTTACGTTAACAGTTACAGTTATATAAACAACTTGAAACGGAAATGTGTTCCTGTGGTAACCCGTGTCTGGAAACGGCACCGTCGTAGTAGTAATATCGCCATTTATGAATGAATGGGTATTGGTTGTGTAACTACGGACGCGATTGGTGGATAGGTTTGGTAGAGGAATATAGGTCATATAAATTGGTGATTTGGAAATACGGGTTACCACAGGGGGTGTAGGAACACATTTCCACAACTGTCCCAAAACCACATGTTAAGAGTTTTTTTTATCCTTTCATTACTGTGATTATAAAACTTAAAGTTCGTCAGTTTATCTTAGCAAAATCAAACACAAACAACTCTTGCATTTTCATAGATTTCACAGATTTTATGGATTTCCAAGGATTTTTTTATGAATACACTGATTTCCAAAATTTTATAGATTCGTGGATTTACAGGATTTTCAAGGATTTCATGATTTTACAGGGATTGAAATGATTTCCGTGAATTTCTTGGATATGTATGGATATCTCATAAATTTGAGGGGATTTGGTACATTTTAAAGAATTCATGGAGGAACCTTATATATTTCAGGAAACTGTGGATTTTCATGAATTGCCTGAATTTTCACGGATTTCATGGGTATTCGTGGATTTCAGGGATCTTACACGTCTCATGGAATTTCACGGTCCATTTGGATTTCAAAGATAATGAAGAAAATTATGGCTTTCACATATTTGTTGAATTATACTGCAGTGTCTACTTAAATAATAACAAGAGCAGCAAATACTACTACTACTGTTCCAACTTCTGCTTTTTTAACGACCTCCAACCTCCCCCACCATTTCATTGCCTAACTATCCGAATACAAAATTATGTATTCTAATTAAACGATTTAAACCGCATATATATGTCTGTGACTGTTGTAGGATTAGGGGCCGATAGTCTAGTCTCCTGTGACACTGCAGAGCAGACTTGAGGAAGGGGAAGGACAGGTGACATCTTAAGTAGGCCACGAAGTAACTTCTGGGTTACTACTAATACTATTACTTGCAGTAGTAGTACTATAGATAATGATAATGATGAAAATATGATTAATGATATTAATAATAATGATAAAAATAACGACATTGATAAAAGAAAAAGAAAAAGAATGAGATTAATTCAATTAATATTGACGAGCAAGAAAGATGGAAATAACTAATACCAATGGCCGCATGTTACCGTAACTTAGCTCACGATGCTGCACACAGGAGGAACGAGGATGACAAGATAAGGGCATACGGGAAGAGATTTCAGGACGTTGATCAAGGCAACTTCACTCCTCTAGTGTTCACAACCTGTGGCGGGATGGGACCAACTGCAAGATGCTTCTACCCCAGACTCGCGGAGGTGATAACCGAGCAGAAGAAGCAGCCCAGAAATTATGTTACAGCCTGGATGAAATGTCGCCTGTCCTTCTCTCTCCTTCGGTCGGCTTTGCTCTGCCTCAGGGGAACGAGAGCATCGGCCCCAAAGCCGACAACAGTTGCAGATATTGACTATGAGGCTACACTCACTGAATGCTGCATAGATCTGCGGCTCAACTAACTCAACAAAGCTAGGATAGCTTCTTATGTATTTTGATATTTAATATTAAGGCAATAAAGTGTTGGCGAAGATATGGCTATTGGGGGAGGCTGGAGGCCATTTATAAAAAAAAACTAATACTCCTTCTACTGCTTCTAGTACTGCTACTAATATTAGCTTCACTGTGGTCGTTACTCAGCTCTTGTCAGGTTTTCTCATACAAATACACATCCACTACTCTAACTACACAGTCATTTTGTATTGCTCCTTTTCTTACATTCACTCTTCTAGATTATCAGCCTCTGGAGGAAACCAAATGAAGAAATAAGAGATCACGTCGAGCTACCCTTGAATCAGAGAACGTCCATATATTGTTTAAATTGACATTTTATTTCTTAATTAGGTTTCAATAATTTTTCAGTGACAAATGTATTATTATACATATTATACCCCACCAATTTTATCAGCTTTCTCTCTCACTTTTCATTACCATATTATCTCTTCTTCATGTGATTCATCTCATAAACCATCATCATCACACTATCATATAATTATTACCTTCTAAGAATAGTATAGCAGCCATGTTCCCTAGACTGGCTACATCACATGACCCTGGGCGCGGCTACAGGTATATAAGGCTTCGGTCCGCCTCACCCAATAACAGTCTCAACAACAGTTCATTCTCATAGCACCATGGCTCCCAAGGTGAATAGATCTCTTGTCTGCAAATCGTTGATATGATACTTGATATATATACCTGTACGTTGTAGTGTTGAAGTTTATCATGTTTTTTCAGGTCACGAAATACAAGCTAAGGATATCACTGATCACTGAAAGTATAGTTAACATTATTGTGTTATGATAAGTGTTGTGGTTTCGTTCTGTAGGTTGTGTTATTTGCCGCCCTTGTGGCTGCAGCATTTGCCAGGCCAGATCCACAGTACAGCTCCCCCACTCCTGCATACAACCCCCCTGCCCCCTCCTACAATGCTCCAGCTCATCCAAGACCTTCCTATTCTGCTGCCCCAGCTTATCCTGACGTAAGTTGATACTTCCAGACATCTTTTGAACGAAAAAAATTCTTTATAAAAGGTTAATTTGAGCTTGTCAGTATTTTTTCTGTGATCTATAATTATTTTACATAAAATACCATTATCGTGAATGTCAATGTTACCTTCTATTGTCTTTTTAGCAATATAAATATTCATGAATTATTATGTAAGTCATGTTAAGATATAAACAAAATATTTCATTTATAATAAAAATGAATACACAAACTGGAAAAAGTGTTATGCTGTTTACAAGGGCAAGTGTGATAGAAAACATAGGCAGATCGAGTAGTAATACTATGTTGTCTTGGCCACAGACTCCTCCCCAATACAACTCCCAGTACGCCGTGAGGGACGACTACTCCGGCAACGACTACGGCCATGAAGAATCCCGTGATGGCTACAACACCCAGGGTACCTACTCTGTGTTGCTTCCCGACGGTCGTGTGCAGAGGGTGACTTACTACGTCGACGGTGACTCCGGCTACGTGGCTGAGGTGACCTACGAGGGTGAGGCCCAGTACCCAGCCTACCATCCCGCCCCAGCACCCTCCTACAGGCCTGCTCCTGCGCCCTCCTACACGCCAGCACCCAGCTATGCCTAAATTGAATTGAAAAACTACAGTGAATTTCATGTTGACCATTGAATTTATATACTAAATGATCTGAATAAAACTAATGTATAAAATTATGGCTTTAATATCGTCATAGAATGAAGGACACATCTATGTTCTTTTTGACCTAATAACAATAGTCACTAACACATTGTATAGTGTTTAAAGGCGAAGCTCTCTGAGAGTATACAGTATGTATCTTCATGCAAGGCGAATCGTGTTAACAAAAGTGTAGAAACACTCAGCTGCCTCCATCTTCTTCCTGCTGCAAGGCTGAGGCCAAGTACCATGATCACCAGCCCGCCCCAACACCCTCTTACACTTAGAGGCTTAGACCATCACTCTGAACCCCTGACATGTTATGGGAAGGATATTTATTTATTTAAATTTTTCGTTTTGTTTTTCTTGCCTCTACTTTTTATTTTTATTTTCGCTCTTGTCCCTCTCTCATACAATGCCTGAAAAAAAAGAGTATGATTGCTAATAATCGAACTTTGGCACTTATTAACCTCATCAAGTGTTTGCCGTATGCTGCATATAGTTATAGGAGACAGAAGCAGGTAGAGAATCATTTAAAGTTACGTTAACAGTTACAGTTATATAAACAACTTGAAACGGATATGTGTTCCTGTGGTAACCCGTGTCTTCAAACGGCACCGTCGTAGTAGTAATATCGCTATTTATGAATGAATGGGTATTGGTTGTGTAACGACGGACGTGATTGGTGGATAGGTTTGGTATAGGAATATAGGTCATATTAATTGGTGATTTGGAAATACGGGTTACCACAGGGGTGTAGGAATACATTTCCACAACTGTCCCAAAACCACATGTTAAGAGTCTTCTTTTATCCTTTCATTACTGTGATTATAAAACTTAAAGTTCATCAGTTTATCTTAGCAAAATCAAACACAAACAACTCTTGCATTTTCATAGATTTCACAGATTTTACGGATTTCCAAGGATTTTTTTTTATAATACACTGATTTCATAAATTTTATAGATTCGTGGATTTCCTGGATTTTCAAGGATTTCATGATTTTACAGGGATTGAAATGATTTCCGTGAATTTCTTGGATTTGTATGGATATCTCATAAATTTGAGAGATTTGGTACATTTTAAAGAATTCATGGAGGAACCTTATATATTTCAGGAAACTGTGGATTTTCATGAATTGCCTGAATTTTCACGGATTTCATGGGTATTCGTGGATTTCAGGGATCTTACACGTCTCATGGAATTTCACGGTCCATATGGATTTCAAAGATAATGAAGAAAATTATGGCTTTCACAGATTTGTTGAATTATACTGCAGTGACTACTTAAATAATAACAAGAGCAGCAAATACTACTACTACTGTTCCAACTTCTGCTTTTTTAACGACCTCCAACCTCCCCCACCATTTCATTGCCTAACTATCCGAATACAAAATTATGTATTTTAATTAAACGATTTAAACCGCATATATATGACTGTGACTGTTGTAGGATTAGGGGCCGATAATCTAGTCTCCTGTGACACTGCAGAGCAGACTTGAGTAAGGGGAAGGACAGGTGACATCTTAAGTAGGCCACGAAGTAACTTCTGGGTTACTACTAATACTATTACTTGCAGTAGTAGTACTATAGATAATGATAATGATGAAAATATGATTAATGATATTAATAATAATGATAAAAATAACGACATTGATAAAAGAAAAAGAAAAAGAATATGATTAATTCAATTAATATTGACGAGCAAGAAGGATGGAAATAACTAATACCAATGGCCGCATGTTACCGTAACTTAGCTCACGATGTTGCACACAGGAGGAACGAGGACCACAAGATAAGGGCATAAGGGGAGAGATTTCAGGACGTTGATCAAGGCAGTTTCACTCCTCTAGTGTTCACAACCTGTGGTGGGATGGGACCAACTGCAAGATGCTTCTACGCCAGACTCGCGGAGGTGATAACCGAGCAGAAGAAGCAGCCCAGAAATTATGTTACAGCCTGGATGAAATGTCGACTGTCCTTGTCTCTCCTTCGGTAGGCTTTGCTCTGCCTCAGGGGAACGAGAGCATCGGCCCCAAAGCCGACAACAGTTGCAGATATTGACTATGAGGCTACACTCACTGAATGCCGCATAGATCTGCGGCTCAACTAACTCAACAAAGCTAGGATAGCTTCTTATGTATTTGGATATTTAATATGAAGGCAATAAAGTGTTGGCGAAGATATGGCTATTGGGGGAGGCTGGAGGCCATTTATAAAAAAAAACTAATACTCCTTCTACTGCTTCTTGTACTGCTACTAATATTAGCTTCACTGTGGTCGTTACTCAGCTCTTGTCAGGTTTTCTCATACAAATACACATCCACTACTCTAACTACACAGTCATTTTGTATTGCTCCTTTTCTTGCATTCACTCTTCTAGATTATCAGCCTCTGGAGGAAACTAAGTGAAGAAATAAGAGATCACGTCGAGCTCCCCTTGAATCAGAGAACGTCCATATATTGTTTAAATTGACATTTTATTTCTTAATTAGGTTTCAATAATTTTTCAGTGACAAATGTATTATTATACAGCTTATACCCCCACCAATTTTATCAGCTTTCTCTCTCACTCTTCATTACCATATTATCTCTTCTTCATGTGATTCATCTCATAAACCATCATCATCACACTATCATATAATTATTACCTTCTAAGAATAGTATAGCTGCCATGTTCCCTAGACTGGCTACGTCACATGACCCTGGGCGGGTCTACAGGTATATAAGGCTTCGGTCCGCCTCACGCAACAACAGTCTCAACAACAGTTCATTCTTATAGTACCATGGCTCCCAAGGTGAATAGATCTCTTGTCTGCAAATCATTGATATGATAATTGATATATATAGCTGTACGTTGTAGTGTTGAAGTTTATCATGTTTTTTCAGGTCACGAAATACAAGCTAAGGATATCACTGATCACTGACAGTATAGTTAACATTAATGTGTTATGATAAGTGTTGTGGTTTCGTTTTGTAGGTTGTGTTATTTGCCGCCCTTGTGGCTGCAGCATTTGCCAGGCCTGACCCACAGTACAGCTCACCCACTCCCACATACAACCCCCCTGCCCCCTCCTACAATGCTCCAGCTCATCCAAGACCTTCCTATTCTGCTGCTCCAGCTTATCCTGACGTAAGTTGATACTTCCAGACATTTTTTGAACGAGAAAAATCTTTATAAAAGGTTAGTTTGAGCTTGTCAGTATTATTTCTGTGATCTATAATTATTTTACATAAAATACCATTTTCGTGAATGTCAATGTTACGTGCTTGTATTGACTTTTTATCAATATAAATATTCATGAATGTTTATATAAGTAGTATCAGAAGATAAATAAAATATTTCATTACAAAATGAATGCAGAAATTGGAAAGAGTGTTATACTTCTTGCAAGGGCAAATATAATACAGAACATAAGCAGACCAAGTAGTAAAACTGTATTGTCTTGGCCACAGACTCCTCCCCAATACAATTCCCAGTACGCCGTGAGGGACGACTACTCCGGCAACGACTACGGCCATGAAGAATCCCGTGATGGTTACAACACCCAGGGTACCTACTCCGTGTTGCTTCCCGACGGTCGTGTGCAGAGGGTGAATTACCGCGTCGACGGTGACTCTGGCTACTTGGCTGAGGTGAACTACGAGGGTGAGGCCCAGTACCAAGCCTACCATCCCGCCCCAGCACCCTCCTACAGGCCCGCTCCTGCACCCTCCTACACGCCAACACCCAGCTATGCCTAAATTGAATTGAAAAACTTCAGTGAATTTTATATTGACAATTGTATTTATAAAAAAACCCTACGTGAATAAATGGTAATGTATAGATTTTATGGCTTTAATTCGTCATATAATGAAGGACACATCTATGTTCTTTTTCACCTAATAACAATAGTCACTGACATATTGTATAGTGTTTAAAGGCGAACCTCTATGAAAATTTATGTATCTTCATGCAAGGCGAATCGTGTTAACAAAAGTGTGGAAACACCCAGCTGCCTCCTTCTTCATTTTATCGTCACCATCAGGCGACTCCGGCTACTGTACATGGCTGAAGAACAGTATCTCGACCACCCAGCCCGTCCAAACACCCTCTTACCTGAGACCATCACCCTGAACCCATGACATGTTATGGGAAGGATATTTGTTTATTATTATTTTTCTTTTGTTTTTTCTACTCCCCTCTCTCTCCTCTTTCGTTCTTGGCTCTCTCTTACACAATGCTTGGAAATAAAAACACAAAATATATGATAGCTACTAATCGAACTTTGCACTTATTCATCTCACTAACATTACCTTTAACAACTCAATCTCAACCACTCGACCAACCACAGGAGAGAAACTTAAAGTGCTCATAAGGTTTGATGTCAATCCTTCTTGAGATTTTGTTGCATAAACGATATCACTAATCCATTATTTCCTTCCCAAGCCATCAGGTGTTTGCTGTATACTGCATATAGGTATATGAGACAGTAGCAGGTATAGAAACAGTTAGGGTTACGTTAACAGTTACAGTTATATAAACAACTACAAGCTGAAATGTGTTCCTACACCCCCTGTGGTAACCCGTGTCTTCAAACGGCACCCTCGTAGTATGAGTGGGTATTGGTCGTGTAACGACGGACGTGATTGGTGGATAGATTTGCTATAGGAGTATTGGTCATATCGGTTGGCTGTTTAGTAACACGTGTTACCACAGGGGGTGTAGGAACACATTTCCACAACTGTACCAAAAGCACAGTCTCCTTATACAGGATATGCTTTCGTGACTGTGATTATAAATCTTCAAGTTCATTAATTTAACTTACAAAAACCAAGCACAAACAACTCTTGCATTTATTGTACATAGATTTCACAGATTTTGCGGATGTTTTATATTTCTACGGATTTCATAAATTTTCTAGATTCTTAGATCTCCTGGATTTTCAAGGATTTCATGATTTTACAAGGATTAAAATGATTCCCGTAAATTTCTTGGATTTGTATGGATATTTCATAATTTGAGAGATTTGGTAGATTTTTATGAATTCATGGAGGAACCTTTATATATTTAATGAAACTATGGATTTTCATGAATTGCCTGAATATTCACGGATTTCATGGTTATTCATGGATTTCAGGGATCTTACACGTCTCGTGGAATTTCACGGTCCATATGAATTACAAAAATTATTAAAGAACTTATGGCTTTCACAGATTTGTTAAATTACACTGCAGTGACCACTTGGATAAAAACAACAGCAGCAGCAAATACTACTACTACTTTTTTAGTGGCCTTCACCGTCCTCAACCATTTCACTGGCTAACTCAGCAGAGCAGAGTTGAGTAAGGAGATGGACAGGCGACATCTTAAA